ACAATCTGCTTCACTTCAGGGGTTTTCACTCATTTATTTCCAGGTTCAAATGTGTTTATATTCATGATCAAGTGGAAAGGTTTGTCCAAATTTGTCCTTAATGTGCTCACCATGTCCACATCCATGACCGCGGCAGAGAACATCCGAGCTCCTTGTCCAGAAAGGTTGAAGGTTCTGGACTTTGTTGGTCTGTCGATATGGACACGTCTCTTTAACGTTGCACGGAGGACTGTGACATTTTTTTAAGAAGGACAAAAGAGTTTGTTCCGAATATTACGAGATCACCTTCAGCGGTAAGACCTGGTCTGACCGGTTGTTGAACCTCAGTTCAGGAGGAACAGTGGGTCTTCTGTCCTGTTTGTGGACCAGATCTTCCTCCTTGTAGGTTTTTTTCAGTTTGATTCTCCACTTTTCAGGTGTTTTATGGATCTGGAGAAGGTCTAAGACCCAGCTTCAGATCTTTCCGGATGCCGGAGCCACTCTTCAGGTCTTAATGGTCCCTGGTCTATAGACTTGTAACCAAAGTGAAAGCTGGGCTCTTGGTCTTGACAAGGTCTTGCTGGTTGGACTCGTCCAGGGCTGTCCCTTGCCCCTGATACTGTTTGTGGTGTTCCTGGACAGGACCTCTGGCCCAAGTCATGGACAGGAAGGCGTCCGGTTTGGGAACCTCAGGGTCTCGTTTCTGCTTTATGCAGATTATGTGGTTCTGGGCTGGTTCACAGCTGAGGGGGGTCAGCTCAAAGTCCGGGGCCACGGTTCTCAACTGGGAAAAGGTAAAAGACCCAGTCCGGGGCGGGAAACATCTTCGTCTCAGATGGAGGAGTTCAGGTATTTGAGCGTTAAAAGCTGAAATTTGATTTGCTGGTCTGTCTACGTTCCGGCCTTCACTTGTGGTCCTGAGGTTTGGATCAGGACTGAAAGAACCAGATCCTGGATCCGAGCGGCTGAAATGAGCTTCCTTCGTCGGCTCAGACTTGGAGAGAGGGTGAGGAGCTCCGTCAGTGTGGGGGGCTCGGAGTAGAACTGCTGCTCAGAAGTCGGGTAAGGAGGTTCTGACACCAGGTCAGGATGCATCTCGAGTACTGTCAGACACAAAACTCTGCAGGGGTTACGTGTCCTCTCTTGTCTGGGTTTCTCTCCTGGACCTGCTGCCTCCACGCCCCGACCACAGAGAAGAGAACGAAATGTGAGTAAACTTATTTAAACAGCACCTTCCATAGATGACATCACAGGGTGCAGGATGTGGAAATGGGTGTTTGGATGGTTTTAACCATTTTTTTTATCTTTCTTCTGCAGCTACAAGTGCCACATTTTACCGTACGGTAAGATTTTAAATTCTGAGCAAGTCTGAGGTCTTAATTCTAATTCAGTTTTTATGAGCTTTCATTCACAATAAATGTGAAAAGAGTTTTTCTTTGACACGATCGTATCGTTTCATGTAGTGCAAATTAAATCCAAGCATGTTTTCTCTAAAAAGCTGTATTTTGATTTGTCTAAAACCACCTATTTAAAATGAAATAAAAGCCAGCACGTCATCGATAATAAAGCCTCCGAGCCATCGTCAAACCTGAGGGTTTGTTCCTGTCTGCAGCTTTATTACTTTCAGATAAATAATAATAAACGGATCTGTATCTTCTGATTCAGTTTCCACTTCTGCCTCTGGATGGAGCCACACAAGCACCAACTTCCTCTAAACCTGCAGCAGAAGTTTGAGTTTCCCCTTTTAATCCCACAAATAAACCCCTTCCTCTAAAGTCCTGACCATGATCTGTGAGCAGCTGGTTTTAATCAGACAAAAGTAACGCGTTTAAATATAACACATCATTTCCAGAGGATTGTTTCCATGATTTAAGTGTTAATGTTTCCTTTTTGGAGAAAGGTACAGGTCTGGACACGACTGCAGACACAAACACTGATTTCTGAGAACTTTATTCCTCTTAATCCCAACAAAAACAGTTGATCTACAGGGTTTTAATCTGGTGTTAGTGATAGAAACCCTGCAGGCATCCAGACTTGGAGCATATAATGTTTTGTTTTCTCACTTCATTAAGTTTAAACCTATGTGAGGATTTTTTATTTTTTTTTAAGATAGACATTTTTTTTTAATCTAACACAAAGAAATGCTGAAACACATGTATTACAAAAAGATTTATTTAAATAAATAAAATTCATTAAAAACCGAGTGTGTTGTTGACTCTCAGCTACTACCACACCACATTTCAGCTTAAAATCTATAAAACGTAACAAGTTAAACCCATTTTTGTGTTTGCTAATTTCAGTTAGCTGTGGTGACCGTCTTTAGACAAAAGCTAAAACTTTTAACTTCGCAGGTTATCAGTTCAACCCTGTTCTGGATTAAGTTTCCAACCAGAAATGTAGATAAATTAAGTTAGAGCTACCAATAAATGCAGTTAAATCTGGATTCCTCTTAATTATTTGGGTTGATGCTAGCTAGAAGGTGTTAACCGCTATTAGCATTTGCTATTAGCATTTGCTATTAGCATTTGCTATTAGCATTTGCTATTAGCTAGCAACTTGAAATTAAGAACTGTTCTTACATTTTTGTTTTTATCTTTTTATTCTTCATTATTTCTTCCAAAAGCAGAGATATGTCCAATTCAACATTGGACTGTGAAGAATAACACGGATCATCTTTGACCCAAACATTGGGTCAGTTTGACCCATTATCTGGTTAATCCAACAGAATTAACCCAGCAACTTGGTTAGTAAAAAAAAAAGCAACAACAGAAAAAGCTGGTTTCAGCATGCAAAAGTCTAAAAAAATAAATGAGTTGTTATTGCTTATTTTGAATGAAGAAAGAGCAGTGTGTGAACTTTAATGGTTTAAAAGCAATCAATCAAACTACAGAAAGGGGCGTTCCACAAGGCTCTATTATAGGGCCACTGTGTTTTTTGCTTTTACCTTAATGGTTCCCTTGAAAAGTATCCAAATATTTCACTATACGCAGATGAGTCCTTAGTATATTAATACTCCACAATCAGTCTACTTGAGAACATTTGTCTTTCAACTCTAAAACAGCACCAAATGTGCTGTTTTTAAAAACAAAGACGAAGCCTTTAAGATTGAATGAAATTAATAAATCTGATGTAAAATCAGGTCACAGTGTTGTTTTAACCAATTTACCTACAGGTTTAGTTCTGTAGTAAGCTGATTACAGGTGTGTCTTCTTGCTGGATGTTTCACTCTGTCAGCAGCTGCAACCCCCCCCAAAAAAACACCAATAGCAGGGCGTGTGAAGACACGACTCTGTTCTCCAACATATCGTCACACATTCTGTCGGTGGGAACACACTCTGGAAGCTTCTCCAGTTGAAAAAGAAAACCTTCCAAATATCTCTTTTTAAACACCTGAATTAAAGATGTTCTCACTCAACGCCAACATTAAAATGACATGAACTCATAGTTGTGCTTTTAACTGAATTGTGTCAGAGATTTTACAGTCGAAGTATCGAAATACTCAAAGCGCTTTACACAGCACTCTACTGTTTCTATACAAAGAATAATCAGTGTTTCACACTGATGGGACACACATCGGAGGCAATGAGGGGTTCAATGTCTTGCCCAGAGACACTTTGGCATGTGACTGCGGGTGGAATCGAACACCCAACTCTTGCATTAGAGGACGATTGCTCTAGCCACTCAGCCACATCCAGCCATTATGTAAATTCCCCCATTTTGCAGAACAGTGTTTTCCATTGACATCATGATGTGTGTTTTATCGTAAACTCCTGGTTTTTACTGTATTGTGTAACACTGTCATAGTTTTTACCGTGAAATTCTGGCATTCCCAGTTGTCAGGATCTGTGTGTTTTTGCGTCCATTTCAGTTTTTACACTTGTTGCTGGTTTCTTGTTATCTTTATATTTCAGTTTTTTCCTTGTTTCCTCTGAGCCTTCTGCCACTACTTCCTGTTTGTTTCAGGGGCGGAGCCAGAGGTGGAGCCGAAGGAGCAAGTGCCACCCCTGGATTCTGATTGGCCACTCCATTTGATTGACAAGTCCTTTAATGTGACATTGAGAGATTTATGATTAGAGTAAAGATAAAGTACCAGGTTCCAGAAGCAGTGAAGCTTCCTTCATGTGTTTGTCTCGTGCCCTGAAAGGGGCCACCCCTGGAATGAAAGTCCAGCTCCTTCATTGGTCAGTTTCTGACTCCAGGTGTCTCCATACTCATCAAGCACTGTCCATATAGTCTCTCAGGGTTCACTCCACCTTCAGTCAGGCATTGTGTGTGCTTCATGCCGTGTCCAGTCCTTCTCCGCGTATTTCTTTATATTCACTTCATATTTTGTTTGTGTTTTCTTTGATTTTCCTCACATTTATTGTTATTTATTTCTTTAGTTGTCGTCTTATTTTCTTTTGATCCATATCTTCTTCACGTTTTATCATTGACGTTGTATTGTTTTCATATTTTCTCTGTGCTTTTGCCGTCTCTCCTTGAGTTTTATTTAATAGTTTACGTGATCAGACACTTTTTAAATGTTTCTTTCAATGAGCATGGTGTTTATCTTGACACCAGTATGTTCCTGGGATTACTGCAGGAGGCCCCATGGTTTATGTTTTGAAATAATCTGAGTGTCCTCCGGGATTTGGAGTGGAGAGTCAAGACCGAGCAGTTCTGGGGACTGAAGACTCGGACAGAAATGAGGTCTGCAAATGTCCCCGCGGGAGGAGGAGGAGGGGGGGGGGTGTTGGAAAAGCATTTTGTCACATTGGAACAGAAAGGGGCAGAGCCTGTCATCCTTCCGTGCGTGTGCGCGCTCCTCCATGGCAAAACTCTCATTATCAGACATCTTTATTAATGTTAATTATTAAAGTGATGAGTCAGAAGCTGCGGTTCCGAAAACTGTAGCTGATTGAAGGTGTGTGTGCGTGCGTGTATGCGTGCGTGTGTGTGTGTGTGCGTGTGTGTGTGTCACTGTGGGCGGCTCTCAGCGCAGCCTCCTCTCAGGCCACTCCCGGGAAGCGCGCCGCGGTTCCGCCTCACGCACGGACCGACGGACGCACGGAGCTCGGTTCGTCCTCGCAGCATCTGTCCTCCTTTCAGTCCGAGGTGGAGCATGTAGGACCGGACCCGCGGCCCGGAGCAGCATGTAGCAGAACCCGGAGCTGATCGCCCTGGTTCTGGTTCTCCTGGAGCCTGGTTCCTCCGCTCCGGACGAGCGGCGCCTGGATCTGGATTTTGTGGGGATCCTGCCGGGGGCGGGTGGGGGGTTCCGGTTCGGAGGAGCGCGTGTTCGTCCCGGTCCATGGTCGTTGAGGAAGCTTCCATCTTGAGTCCCGTTTCAACGCACAGAACCATGGCGAGCGACTCCCCCGCGCGGAGTCTGGATGAGATAGACCTGTCTGCGCTCAGGGTGAGTGTGCGCGTGCACGTGCAACACCTGTCCACCCCCCCTCCATCCTCACCCTCCTCTGCCTCAGCGCGGTGGATGCGTCTCCCTGCGCCTTCCTGCTCCTGCGGCGCGCGTGCGCTCATCCCAGTGTGTGTATGTGGGAAGCAGTTGTCCTCGTGCACGGACGCGCGCGTTGGAGGGCATCAGAGAAGGATCACGCCTCTCCTCCTCATGTTGTTTGTTTGTTGTTTTCTTCTCAACAACTGGGCCGTGATGTAACGAGGCCGCGGGCTAATGATGCGCGTGCGCCCGCCCTCTTGGTTTGCGCGTGCGCGAGGCAGCACAATAAAAGCCGCCGTGTCTGAGGTGAATGTGGGGCAAGATGTTAAGCTGCTCACTGACACTTTCACAGCACAAAGGCGGCACGTGCACGCGCTTTCTCCAGCGCACGCGCAGACAGCGGGAATAACGGCGGTGATAACCGCAACAGGAGCGAGTTCCGCCATTTCGTGATGTTGTGGCGACAGCAGCATTGCATCACAGCGGCTGTTTGTGGGACTGTGCGTTTGCGCGCGCGCGCGCACGCCGATAGGAAGTGATGTGAAAGCGAGTGCAGGAATCCGCGTCTGTGCGCGTGAAACCCTATGCATTTCCTGAGAAATTCCTGCTTTTCACTCAGCAGGAAAGATGCACATCACGTACACGGTGTCTGCGCGCGCGCACGTGCCCATGAGTGTGTGCGTGCGCGTTATATTGTGCACGTCTCCCCTTTCTTTTACATGCTGCTTACGCAACTCAGCCGTACCTGCAGAGCAATCAGGTCTGAACATGAGCGACCGGGTGGGACTTGGAGTGTGCGCGTGTGTGTTGCAGACACACGCGCACACAGATGAGGAAGAGGAGGGACAGTAAAGACAGGAAGATGAGAGGAAGATGCTTCAGAATCCCACATCTCCCTCTCAGAGGAGCTCCGAGCAGAAATGAGGTCACTGAGGATGGAGCAGAGAGCTGAGAGCCACTTCCTGTTTCTGAGCATCACCTCCTCCTCCTCTCTGCTCCTCCTCTCTGCTCCTCCTCTCTGCTCCTCTTCATCCTCTACTGTCTGCATGTTAACTGTGTCAGGAGCTGCTTTGTGTCACAACCGACCTTTTGACACAGTTCCTCTCATTATTCAATAATCATAAACCAAACTGCCACAAGTGACGGGCGATCATCTAAACTGCGTCTGTCTGTGTAAATGTTGTCTGTTAGCAAAATATCTCAAAAACCACTGAATGTATTGTAATGAAACTCTAAAAGTGATAAATGGATCTTTGGAATGAACCCGATTCAAGATGGCCGCCTCAGGAAGTCGACATCAGAAAATAAAAATGGCTGCAACGCGGCCATGTTTTACAGATACTGAGCTATAATTTGGCGTGGTAGTAGCCGAGAGTCACCCCTAACACTGAGCCCAAGCCCGAGACTTTAGCTGATATGCTGTCGTTTCTCTCGTTGTGTTTGTGCCTCTGGTTTGAATCACGTTTTGTTGTTTTTGTCATTTTTGTGTTTTATTTACGGCCGTGTTGTGTGTCTTTGTGGTTCTTCCTGCTGCTCAGGGCTCGCTCTCCTCACATGCACTCTGTTTGTGTCTTTGGTCATGTTGTGTGTTTGTGTTTTGTGTGTGACGAGTGCACGTGATCTTTCTGTATCTTTATTGGTTTTTATCGCCTCTTGTAGCGTTCTTATCTCTGTATCTTTGTGTTTGGTGCATTGCATTCATTTGTTGTTGGTTTGTTGTGTTGCGTCTCCTTGTTGTCTCTTTGTGGTTGTTTTGCATCATTTCACGGCCTTCTTGTTGTGTCTCTTTTGCATCGTCGGTACAGTCAGTCTTTTTGCAGGTTGTGTCTGTTGCCGGTGGTTTGACGTCTTCACAGCCACATTTTCTTCCTCTTTGTGGTTAGTTTGAGTCATCATGGAGCTCCTGCATCACATTTTTGTTTCCTCCAACATTTCATTACCATCTCTTAAGGTGTTCACCATTTTCAAACCGAACTAAAGTGTCTAAGGTATTCTTAAACCAACGGTGTTCAGCCCTGGACCTCGTGGGCCACTATCCTACAAGTTTTAGATGTTCTGCACTTCAGCAGGTGTCCCAAGTTGTGCAGAAGCCTCTCAGTCACCCATACTTTTAAATCAGGAGTGTCAAAGCAGAAAAAAGCATCTAAAACATGCAGGACAATGGCCCTCAAGGACCAGAGTTGGACACCCCCGGTCTAAAACATGCAGGATAGTGGCCCTCAAGGACCAGGGTTGGACA